TATTTCGTTGGCTATATCTCTGGGCGATTTATTTGTGCCAGCAGTCTATAGTGCTTTTGCCCAAGACAAGATACTATTGCACTGATAATAATCAAATTTAGCTGAAGTTGCATTCACATGTGATATAATAGCTGGAGTCGGCAAGCTGTGGGAATGCCCAGGAGATGGCGTTTGCTCAGCCCTCATTGCACCGACGGCGGTGGGCACTACTGCTGGCACATATTTTGCAACAACTGCAATGGTTGCAGCGTTTTCTTCTGCAACAATAACCTGGAATGATAAAATGTCCTATAATGTCGACGAACAAAAATATAAAATTGAAAATGACTAACCTTACTCCAAATTGCTAATCGATCCTTTAGCTTCATGTTCTCATTTTCCAACCTTGTGTACACTTCTTCATCACCCAATTCAATTGATATATGTTCGGAACAGAAAGAAATTTGCATTAATCAATTGTAAATACATGAAATCATAAATTTATTTAATTTTTTGCCATTTCACAAACAAGAAATATAAACTCACCGCGATACAGAAATAAAAACCAACAGGGCTGCATTTTCTTGGTAAACAACATTCTCCACACAAGCGCTCAGAGCAATCTGATCCACAAAATTATTTTGTGAAAAATAATAGTTGAAAATAGTTTTTACACACGATTATCACATTAACTCATAAGTGCAAATTATTGTGATTATTTTTAGTTGAATATAATTGTATTACCTTAGACCTACGTCCGGATGGACCTGCCACTCCGATGGCACACTCGACTCCGCTTCCTCTAGCCAACGCCACAAAGTCGGCATCTGCTGCCGCACTCAAACCCGCTTCCGCCGACGCCTCCTCCACAAAATCCCTTTGTCCATCGCTCGCCAATGTACACGCTTCGATCGCTTCCTCACTAAGGCACAGCTGTTGCGGCGGTGGATGTGGCTCTTCCGAAGCCATCGGGTTATATAGCCTGATCCGCATGTCGATATGGCGCGCATACTCTACGTACCCGTTACCGAGGTGTCTGGCGTCCTGCGTAGTGATGGAGAATTCGCCCTGCCTTTGGCATACCGTGTTGGCTACCGCTCACTGCTTGGCCCGCAGTCGTCGGATTGTACGCTTACGTGTGAGGATTCGTGCTCCATTTCCTGCTCTTCGCTCGCCAAATGTGGCGTATTGTTTGCCAAGTACTCTGCACCCCAATAGGCTGCCATCTCTGCTTCCTCACTATTGTGAGGCAGTACAAACGGCTGCGTACTCTCGAGGCTTTCGATATCCTCGTCGCCGATTTCTTGTTGTTGCCTGCCACCTTCGCTGGAGCTACTTGGCCGGCCAGCGTCGTCATGCTCGCCCCTGGTACTGTTGTTGTCGCTTGAATTGCTCGACCGGTCTCCACCGCTGCTGTCGCTTCTACCGTTCGGTTAGACGCCTTATGCGTGCGCGCAGAACTCCGCCTTCCGCTGGTTCTGCCATAAAATTTGCCTGCTGCTGCTCCATAGTATTGTCCACTTTTCACACTTGTGCCTTGACGACCGCGGCACATCCTTTTTATTGCCGACAGTGGCCATTGCGCGACCAACTGTATTTTCCTTCATTTTCGGCACTTTTTCAGCAAAATTTCGGTAATTTTGCTGCCGTTTCATTTTTACATTGTGTATTTTGTCTTTCTTTTGTTTTTCTTTTGTTTATTTGTAATCCTCGCACAGCTGTAATTTGGTGTCGGGGTTCCTGACTATCCATTAGTAGGGCTGATGTAAACCGTAGAAGATTCCGGGTTGCCATTGCGGTATTGCAAATATTATTATTTTTATTTATTTATTTATTTAATATAATCTAGAAATGCAAGATTTCATACAGACTATTAGATACTTATAAATAACTACATAAACATTTCATTTAATAATAACTTAATGTTTGATTTCGTTAACGAAAAGTCAATCGTACAAGAGTTTGGGAGCAAGTTAAATTCTTTCATAGCCCTTAGAATGGAAGAGTTAGAAACGTAAATAGTTCTTACTCGTTCCAGAAAAAAAATATCATGATTTCGAAGGCTCCTAACGGGAATATTGAAGTGAATACGCTCAAGTAGATAAGGAGAATCAATCGCACCGATTATTATATCAAATATAAATGTGAGCGAGAGAATAATTCGCCTACTATTTAACGAATTAAGGTTTATGAGAAGACGTCTAGAACTATACGGGGGAATCGGATCCGCAAAATTTAGAGCGTGGAGAGCAAAGCGTACAAAATTTTTCTGAACTCTCTCAAGTCTTTTGATATCGCAATCATGGTACGGTCTCCAGATGAAAACAGCATATTCAAGTTTCGGTCGTACGAGAGAATTATATAATAATTACCTATGTGATAAGAGGTAGAAATAAGAGAACGGGACTTAGAGTAATGGCGTTTTCTTTTCTCGAAAAAAATTTCACCTTCTTATGTAGCAACATTATCAGAGGGCAACATTTTAAAGAAAGAGCACGAAATATGCATGCGAAAATGCTGAGAAAAGAACACGAAAACTTGACAGCCTAGGGCAGAATAAATGCAACATTATTTCTAGAAAAGAAAACGCTTTAAGAGATATGAAAGCACTTATTTATGTTTAAATTAAGATGGTTTTTAATACATCATTCAGCAACATTATTAATATCAGATTGCAGCAACTCTGCATCTAACTGACTTGTTATAGTAGCGAACATTTTTAAGTCATCCGCATATAATAGAAATTTAGAGTGCGTAAAGCAATTGCAAATGTCATCAATAAATAAAACAAAGAGCAGGGAACCTAATATGCTTCCTTGGGGCACTCCAGAGGAAGCGATAAACGACCTAGAGGAAACGTTATCAACTAAAACTTCACACTTACGCGGCGAAAGGTAGGATTTTACCCAAGAGAGAAAAACAGAATGAAAACCGAGACCGGCTAATTTAGCAATTAAAAGAGAATGACTA